ATAAAGTATATTACATTAGCTTTAATTTAAGATATATATAAAAGTGTCAGACTTTCCGGAACACTTTCAAAATTTAAGTTGAAAAAGTCAATTTTTTGTGAAAAAGTTGTCATTTTGAATCCCCCCCTGTAGGCAGGTAAAAAGTCAGATTTATAAAACAAATATACCAAATTATAGGTAAAGACATCATGCATCTACAAAAAAAAGAATTATATTGATCCATACATCTTTCGAGAAGTTATAGCATTATAAAGTTAAAAATATAAAAAAGAATTTTTTTACAAAAATCGTATTTTTTTTATTAAGTTTAATGTCTGTTTTCACCATGAAGATAAAATAAAGTCCGAAATTTTTTTTTACCATTATAAAGTATATTACATTAGCTTTAATTTAAGATATATATAAAAGTGTCAGACCTTCCGGAACACTTTCAAAAGTTACGTTGAAAAAGTTCTACTTTCTATATGCATTTTTATGTTTTGAATCCCCCCTGTATTTAGGGAAATGGTCCGATTAAAAAAAACAGTATGTCGAATAAAAGATCTATATAAATACTACTTCTCATAAAAAAATTGTAATGATTCATACATTTTTCAAAAAGTTATAGCATAATAAAGTTAAAAATGGAAAATACAAAATCGAAAATTTTCACACAAAAATAGCATTCGGTAGCCATTTTCACCATGAAGATAAGATAAAGTCCGAAATTTTTTTTTTTCATGATAAAGTATATTACATTAGCTTTAATTTAAGATATATATAAAAGTGTCAGACCTTCCGGAACATTTTCAAAATTTAAGTTAAAAAAATTAATTTTTTGTGAAAAAGTTGTCATTTTAAATCCCCCCTTGTGGGCAGGTTAAGGGTTAAATTTATGAAAAAAATATACCAAATGAAAGGTAATGATATTATGCATCTATATAAAAAAGAATTATATTGATATGTTTATTTTTGAAAAAGTTATGGCACTTTTAAGTAAAAAAAATTGAAAAAATTTCGAAAATTAGCGATTTTTAAATTTGTAATTTTTTTGGAGGTTTCCCCCATTTACGGGGAACGAGGGAATTTTTTTCAATTTTTAAGGGTAATGTCTTCGACTAGATACGATTTGTGATCTTTTGACGTATCATTGAAAGAAATCGGTTCGGTGAGAGCTGAGAAAAAGTGGTAACAGACACAAAAAAAAAACACATCATAGTAAAACCAATACCTTCTCAGCTTCGCATCGAAGCTAAAAAAACAAATCATAGTAAAATTAATACCTTCTCAGCTTCGCATCGATGCTAAAAAGGTATTTGTAGAGAAGAGAGGAGTCTAATTTTATTCCCTTCTTTAATTCTGTGAAGATAATTATCCCTCTTAAGTTGTGATACTTCTATCACTTAGTCACTAGTCTCATTTTAGATTCAGTTTAAACTTTATACTGCTTCTTTTATTATCATTATTTTATTTTTTGTCAATAATTTACAATTTGATTTCAGCCACCTGATTATGACACCATATTTGACTATTCATTTTTACGAGTTGTCAGTACTATTAATAATGATATCAAATCATTGTTCTATGGGAAAAATAAAAAATTTATTAATCATTCGCAAATAAATCGAGATGACATAAAAATGTTATCAATATCTTGTAAAGACGATTATGAGTGTAGACAAAAAAAAAAATCAAGCTTAAACAAATTAAAAAAAGAATTAGAGTCTTTAGAGTGTTTTCATACATTTTTATGTCTTCAAATTTTAGAAGTGTTCAAAAATGATATTTGGGTTAAAAATGAAAATCCAAAACACATTTTTAAAATAAATTATCAAAATGTAAGTTATTACATATCTAGAATGATTTCATTTTTTATTTATGGCAAATTTGTTGTTAATCCTTGTCAATATGATTTGGCAATGTGTATTATTGATGTAACGAGACTTCAACAACAAAAAAAAGATACATTGGATGTCAGTCTAACACATTTAAGTAATTCTGCGTTACTATCTTCAATGAATGAATTTTGCGATAATTGTAAAAAAAATAATGAATTTTTAAAATCGATTATTTCATTCAAATGTAATACTCTGGAAGGAAAAAGTATACAATTTTTTATTCAAGAAAATGTCAAAAATTATGTGAAGAATATATTTTTAATAACAAATATCCCTTGCGTAATAGAAATGACAAATATTTCTCATGATTTTATTTACAAAGGTAATTAATATGATGTAGTAATACTAATATAATTTATTAAACAAACTAATATTCTCGTATGTTGATGAAAAAATTTTAATGAATATAAAAATGTATACTTTTTCCTTCCAGAGTATTACATTATAAAAAAATTAGTGTCATATCCCTAAATACCAACCATGTGTTTAGGGATATGACACTAATTTTTTTTGGAAACTATTGAAAATTCAATACTTTTGTATTGAAAAAACCCAGCACAGGTTTTCAAACAGGTGGGTCGCGACACAGTGGTGTCGTGGTATAGTTGGATCAAATATAATGATATCTGACAGTGATTAAAATCACTATCAAAATAAACGCTTCGATGCAAATCTTTAGATAGTGTTTAATTTAAAAAAAATTGGTGTTTTATTCCAAAAGCTACTTGATCTGCTGGTTCCTTATTAATATCTCGATTAAGATAAAGTATGTCGAATGGAAAAGGGATGTAAATATTATTTCTCATAAAAAAATTGTGTGGATCCATACACTTTTCAATAAGTTATAGCATTATAAAGTTAAATATTTTATAAATAATAAAATCGAGAATTTTCACACGAAAATAGCATTCGTTAGCCATTTTCACCATAAAGACAAGTCCAGAGGTCAAATTTTTTTTTTAAATTAAAGTATATTACATTAGCTTTAATTTAAGATATATATAAAAGTGTCAGACCTTCCGGAACATTTTCAAAAGTTAAGTTGAAAAAGTTAATTTTTTGTGAAAAAGTTGTCTTTTTAAATCCCCCCCTGTGGGCAGATAAAGGGTCGAATTTACAAAAAATATATACCAAATGACAGGTAAAGACATCAAGCATCTAAAAAAAAAAAATTATATTGATATGTTCATTTTTGAAAAAGTTACGGCACATTTTAGTAAAAAAAATTGAAAAAATTTCGAAAATTAGCGATTTTTAAATTTGTAATTTTTTTGGAGGTTCCCCCATTTACGGGGAACGGGGTAATTTTTTTCAATTTTTAAGGGTAATGTCTTCGACTAGATACGATTTGTGATTTTTTGACGTATTGTTGAAAGAAATCCGTTCGGTGAGAGCTGAGAAAAAGTGGTAACAGACACAAAAAAAAAACACATCATAGTAAAACCAATACCTTCTCAGCTTCGCATCTGAGCTAAAAATAATCAATTAAAACGATCGACTTGATGTTACATCATTATGTCTGAGGAAATTAGTATAGGGAGTGGGTCACATCACACTTTCATATTAATTTTTGTTTATTAATATAATGTTATAATAAAACATTTATTTTAATTATATGAATCTTTTTTTATCATAATGATCTCAAAATTTAAATGTTAACTGTTATATAATTTAATTTTACTTTAATTGACTCTTCATTTTTCGAAAAATGTAGCAGTTAGCAAAAAGGAAGTAGCTATGGATAAAGAATATGAAAATAAGAAAAAAGATTTTCTACAAAGTTTAAAATTAATTAAATCTGATATTGAAACACTAAGGATAAATTCAATNTTAAATCTGACATTGAAACACTAAGGATAAATTCAATATATTACGGTAATAGTGAATCGTTTCTAAAAGAACGCAAGAAACATCTATCAGCATGTCATTTTTATCGTGTGTGTAAATTTCTACAAACATCAAGCAAAGAAGCAATCTTGAGAGTAGTAATGCGCATTCCGATTGAAAAATCTGAGGTCTCTGAAACTGAAAATACTATTTCGTAAGTAGTATTAAAAAATTATTATTAGTCTTTATAGTAATTTCAAATAGTTTTTGTACGAAAAGTACATTAGCTAACATTCTGATCATTGATGATATTGATGATATCATTGATATTACTAATTTTTCAGTACGCATTATAGAAATACGTTTAAATATGGCAAAGTTAATGAGAAGAAGGCAAAAACACTTTTCGAAAAGAGAATGGACATTCAGATTATACAATGTGGTATATTTATTGATGAAAACTTAAATTTTTTAGCAGCTCAACCGGATGGTTTAGTTGAAAAAGATGGTATTGTTGAAATAAAATGTCCTTTTAACGCTNAGATGGTATTGTCGAAATAAAATGTCCTTTTAACGCTAAAGAAATGACCCCCGAAAATGCTATTAAACATAAAGTGATAAAATATGTGCATTACAACAAAAATGGAGATCTTTTACTAAAACGTACNGTATTACGACAAAAATGGAGATCTTTTACTAAAACGTACTAGTGAAATTTTTTATCAAATACAAGGAGAACTGCATATTACACAGAGACAGTATTGTTATTTAATTATTTGGACACCAAAAGGTATTAAAAAACAATTCTTTATTATATCAACATTACGTAGTAAACTTTTATCAGATATCTAAAACACCTCTAAATGGACAGATATTGCCAAGCGTTAGTGAAAATAATTATTTTTGAATTTGTTTCTGAGTTTTGCATATTGTTTTTATAAAAAGTATAAATTTAATTTAATAAAAAGTTTCTTGCAATATTCTCGTAAAAATAAATGGGTCATTCAAGTTTTTGCGAATATTTATTATGTATAAAATTAGTATGTGGGGAACATAACTACTCAACCGGAACTCAGTGTACTCCACTGCTCTGTAATAAAAATTAGATTGTCTGAACTTATATCAACAAAATATTGAAAATTTCTTTTCTTTATGTTTTACCCAAAGAGGTACAATGAGACGCAATGATTTTAAAAATCATAATTTTAATATTAAATAATTGAAATTTATTTTTAGTTTTAAAAATAATTTTTTTTTATTGTGCAAAAAAATTATTTTTTTATATTAAAAATAAAATGTAATAAATTATAGTATTTTGGCTATGTTTAAAAAATGTACGTAAAGGTACACTAAAAATTGGTCGAACAAATACTCACTTTTTTTTTATTCAGACTTTTTTATACAGAAAAATCATCAAATTATTATATTTAAACTCTATATATTGTTTTCAATATTGATATATAAAAAAATCACATAATAAATCATTAAAACTATTTTTGATAATTTAGGTTTAGATAAACTTATTATAATTTTTGATTATTGTGTATCCGTCATTCTATTATCTTCGGAATATATTATGCGGTATTTAGAAATTGTATTTGTGTTCCTACTAATTTAATATCTATTGTCACCCGGGTAATAATTATCCAATTGACACTAGATTTGACAACAGTTGTTGTGGTCAAAAATTTCTATATAATTTTACTCAAAAATCGATTTAAAATTAAAAAATATGTTTACTATAAAATGCTATTATTTTACTTTTTTAGGTATAGTCTATAGTACAATTCTTCGAGATGACAATTTTTGGAACCATAATATGAAAAATAAACTAATTGACTTTTACGAAAACATTATGTTACCCGAAATAATAAATCCTCAAATCTTTAAAAATCTGAACATTTCGGACATTTAAAATTAAATTTAAAATATAATAAATCATTATACATTCATATTTAAATAATATTAACAAATCAACAAATAATTGTAAAAATTTATTTAACTTTAATATATAAACAACTAAAGTAGTTAATTGATTTAAATTGAATAAAAGGGCATTTAAGTTCATCATTTTAATTTTCAAAAAATGCAGTTTAAATGATGTTATAATATAACATCTAGTTGTTTTATATGAACATGTAGAGATTCGTGTTGATGGGAACCAGGCAATGTTGAAGAAAAAAACCAACTCAAAAAGTAAAAATACAAAACTTGTTATTGATTAATCAAAATTTTATTTAAGTCATTCTTTATCTAATAGTAAAAAATAATTATACACGTGTGTTCATGATAAATAAATCACTCTGTATTTAATGAGTTTTATATTTTAAGGGTAGTGTTTAATTTCCAGTAGTATTAATCAAATTAATTAATTAGTTAATTAATTTAAAATTTACGCTCAAACGGTCAAGAGTGTAGACATAAATAATTATTATATAATAAAAATGTTTAAATATGTAAGATAAAATATCACAACATCGATGAATTATTATAATGAAATAATCTTTGAATAATGATCTGGCAGCGAACGGTCGCAGGGATGAGTAGGAATATGACAACTGACAATAATAAGAATTAATGATAATAGATCATGGGAAATTTGTGCTTGCAGAAGCTCATCTGATGTATGGGAATGTAGGCAAGAATAGAAGGCAAGAAATGAGCAGAGCTTATATCCTATGTAAAAGTATTATACACAGTTATATAAGTTGTGAAAGTCGTAATGTTTCTATGCAACTATTTAGTCATTTGAGTCACCTTACATAGTTTCTAATAATTATAATCAATAGAGACGTGCAATTTAACCTTATAGTTTTTTTTAGTGTATAAAGTATGCAATAAAAAATAAGTAGATAATAAATATCAATATGTTTACATGTTGAAATTATTCTATCACCAAAAGTATTCAATCGGTGACAAAATGTATTAAAATGCCTAATGCCTAAAGTTTAATATATATCGGTATAGATTTGATATAAAGTTTTAATCATGAACAAATTTTTTAAATTTTATTTTAATGACTTTATATAGTCTGCGAAATGGTTTTGTGATCTCTAGTAATAATCTTAAAAATTTTTTTATTGAATTTGAGCAAAACTTGCAAGTTTGAAATTGACATCATTAAATAGAAAACTTAATGAGAATTAAAAAATGATATTATTAAGATTAATATGCAGTCAGTAAATTTTATAATTACTATTAAGTCAATTATACAGTAAATTTATCAGAAAAATTCAATATTTTTTTGCATTTTTATCATAAAAATAAAAATAGGTCAATCGATAGCTAAGAAAATAAATGCTAGCCATTTATTTTATTTATTGATTTACAAATCAGAAAACGTGTTGATATTACCATCAAGATTTAATAAAGATTGTTGAATTATTTTAACTAGTAAAAACACGTTAAAGCTACAAGTACTAGAATTTAGTATTTATGAAACTATTGTTCAAAAGTCAACATATTCTAAAATATCAATTCAATCACAAATGGAGAAAATGGTAAATTATTTACTAAAACAAAAAATGGACACATCAAATCAAGATTCCGTGAAAAAATTTATTGGTTAACAAGAAACATTTTCCAACTATGCAAATTCCAATAACAATGAACCAGACTTTACAAATTCTGTATTGACAACAATAATATAGAAAGACTTATTTGATTGTTGTCTATAAAAATTGTATTTTTATGGAATTAAATATCCCTCCCAACTTATACAAAGCGTGGTGAGTGAATTTTTAATATACATATACGGTTTATTATGCACCTGCATTCATGGAAAACATAACAATGTGGTACCAGGTGAAATCGTATCATAGGATCGTGTAAAACCGCCCTCGAAACATGGCACGCAATGGCGAACAAAAATATATTCTTTATCACATGTATAAACAGGTCCACACATGATGGGATACCATCCTAATATACGAAGTACCGACTCTAACCATACTCACAAAAATTTATCAAAACAAGTGACGTAGGACGTACAAATGAAGTAATGTCGGATGGACATGTTGAAGTACGGTTGAACTTATGTCGCACAAGTGAACTAATGACGTTTAGAGGTAATAACGTAAAGGGGAACTGGTGTCGTATAAAGACAACTTTCATTGAAAAAATACCAAAACACTCTATCATGTGATCAGGCGATCAGGTGTTTTAAAAGGAACATTTATACACTACTTAAAATATCAACAAAATAATTTCATACCGTAAATTATTTTAATAACCTTATTATATTTGAACCCTCGAACCAAGAACCCCATAAAATATATTTATTAATTAGATAATTGACTCGTGCTCTACCACATATAGCCCTTTCTTATAATAATATTATTTTTACACATCTTTATATCACAAACAAAAACAAAACATTTGGATCAGAATCCACATATTCCTTATGATGTTTTACTTATTATTATACTTAGACGAGTAAGGAAGTATGGGAGAATGACAAGTTATAATAAATATAGTTTAAAAAAACTAAAAAACACGCTTTTAAAGCACGATGAAGCACGATTACTGGTCCACGTGCACCAGTAAATCGGGACTATCAGCTAAATCCTGGTAGAAGTCGCCTACTCTGAGTAGGTATAAGAAGGAGTCTGAGAAAAATTAAAAAATATATAAATATAAAAAATATTTCTACTGTACTGTTGTACTCACATGTATCCATGTAAACCAATTCAATTGCACTGCCATAATGTGGTTTCAATACGTCGTAGAAGTACTTGTACATTAGCGTCTTGCTAATGTCAAGCACTGCTAAACCGACGTATATTGGTTTGATAAACTTGACCATCTTTGTGTCCATTATGACGGCGCACAACCTTTCACCGTATTTGATACAGTTTTTGAAGGTTGGTTGGTTTACGAGCTTCCTTAGACGTTCGGGACTGGAGATTAGCTCAATGCGGATGCGTTTCCGCATGTTCACCATTGTTTTCCCTATAAAATGTAAAAAATTATCGAATATCCCACTTTAGCATTGAGCATGCACTTACCAAAGACGGCATTATTCATTAGTTTGAAAAATTCTATTTCAAAACCATTTGCCGCCTTTTTCCACATTTCAGTGTTCAACTCAATGTATGGTTTCAAACAAGCACTTTATTGAAACTCTAAAACGCGGTGCACCTGCAGTACAAATATTTATATTAGTATCATCGCTTATAGTTTATAGGTTAATTATACATTTTTTATCGACTTGCAGTCCGTGTGCAATTGCCTGTTTTAAGTTGACATAGTGTACGACGTACCACTGTTTGGGTTTCAAAGTGGCCTTGAGTTTGGTCTCTTTGGAACCCGGCGGTACATCGTTGACAGGCAAGAACGGCAAGTCGTTGTGCTCGTCATGGAGCTCTTGTGGATACGATAAGTCCACTTCATATATACGCCCCGTATTACCAGTGTCCGACAATGATTGGAGGTCAGCCAGAGGGTCTGCTCCTTTATACTACCGGAAGCCACCGTAAGGCATGGGCTGACTCATAGCCCACCCGTAAAGGTTATTGCCTGTATACATTAAACATTATTAAACCACCGCTCAATTATTGCGCGTTTATAATATAATCTATACGTGCATATATTATATGCACGTATAGATTACTTACAGTCTTGGTACACGATCCATGATTCTGGTTTTGACGAATCGTAATTGGGTGTCCTAGAATTGTTGGCCTTTGCATAGTGCTTGACGGCCTGCACTAGCTCACCACGAATGCCCTGTTCCACCATCAGTAGCATGTCGTAATCGTTCAAGAGCTCCAGCTTCATCCCAGTGTACTTCAACATACAATCGAAGCTAAAACCAGGCGCGGTGTAATAGTGCGCCGGGTCCAAATTGTATGTTGAAATACAGATGTCGCGGAAGTTCTCAAACACATCAGCCAACAACAACACGTCGATCTTAAGATATAGGTCGCTGTACTCACCGAGGGTTGAGCAGTCGAAACGGTTCCACACCTCCATGACATATCTATAGTCGTCTTCATCAATATTAGACTCACTCAACTGACTAAAGAAAGCGTCCTGAGGTGGTAATTCCGTTTCGTCCAATTTAGCTCAACTATCAGTGTACTCATAGGGGTATACGCCCTTACGCGTCACCAACGGCATGTCTTCCGGGCGGAACACCTTGGCCGTCTCTCGGAATTTAACGAAGTCGGGCNTGGCCGTCTCTCGGAATTTAACGAAGTTGTCGCGGTCGAATATTCTAGAATGTTCGGCCGCCACCGCCTCTAGAAGATTCGTCGCTCTACATAAGCGTGTGGCGGTCGAATGTTCTAGAGAGTTCCGCCGCCGCCTCTAGAAGATTCCTCTGACTATTTAAGGGCAAGATCGTCGCTCCAGTCAATCAGTCGATCAGTCAATCACTTACGCATTCTGTCTTAAACGCGCTTCGTCTCTCGCTGTTATTTGTTAGTTCGTTGTAATATAGTATAGTTGTTATTAAATCGTAAAAGTGTTTATTACTTCTATATATTACACCTCGCTACATNCGTAAAAAGTGTTTATTACTTCTATATATATTACACCTCGCTACAAAGTCGGGCGTCATTAGGTTACCGGCCAAGGTGGACAGGGAGGAGGCCATGAACTGGAAGGTGTCGACAAACCGTATGGAGAAGTTACTGGTCACGTGTTTTGTGACCGAAATATACTTCTCCTCGGAATTCGGTATGACCGAAATCCTTTAGTCGTCGTACCCCAATTCAGTGACGATGAAATGCGCGTCGTAACCTGAAAGATTGTGCAAGAAGCACGGCACAAAGTTGACCGTCTTTACTTTCAGGTTACATGCATTGCACAACGTCTGTCTGAATCGGCCCGATANGCACAACGTCTGTCTGAATCGGCTTGATAAATGACAGTGGTCTGCGACTTTGGGGTTGGAATCCTTAAATGCTGTACGGCATAAGTCGCATAGCAATGCCCTAGCCCCTGTCTTAAAGGCACGGTCTTCGGACGGTGCTTCTGATCGCGGTATATGGTATGAGGCCTCCAATTTGAGATTATACTTGATCGGACGGTTATCTACGATTTTGGCGAGTCTGGCCACCAGCTCGGGTTTAACGGCGCGCAGAAAATCTTGATAGCTCGCGAAATTTTACACGTTCTTCCGGTAAAACCAAACGGCTCCCCGTTCCAATGCAGAATTGATCAAGGTGAAATCACTGGTATCCATCAATTGCATACGTAACCTTTTCGACCTAACCTCGCTGTTGTTGGCCCTACTATGCTTAGCCGCCTGAAGTGATGAAACAGATGTCACGGAAGTAGCTTTAATCAAAAACGAAATAAATTATTTATTTATTAGAAAAAAAAATAAATAAATAAAAATAGTAGAGGTGGTAAAATCCCCTAGTTCAAAAGTTAGTAAAGAGTACAAAGCATTAATAACTAATACATTTTAGAAATTAATCCAATTACAACATTTTTTTTTGGAGTACAATATATTCAATATTATGCAAGAACCCAAGACGATAAGAAAAGATTGTTATATCACTTATCGTTTTATCGTGGATAAGACGTCTTTACCAAACTTGATAAATAATAGGTGGTACACTGATACCGACATAGAACAAGCTCGCTCATGATTACACCGGCAGTCACCAGCTGTTATCATTTTACGCGCCAATTTTCATTGTAATGCACATTAAAAATTTACAAAATTAACGAATTTAATATTTAGGTTATTTTTAGTATATTTTTTGATCTTCATTCAGAATTGTTGAACGTTGTAAGCTGTATGCTCAATTTTATTTATTTTCATGTATGAACATATTATATTTAAGTCAAGTGATTTTTTTTTAAGTTTACTATTGCAAGTATAGTGTTTTTTAGGTANAGTGATTTTTTTTTAAGTTAACTATTGCAAGTATAGTGTTTTTTAGGTATTAGGTAATCTGATATCTGGACCTATACAGCCAGTATTAAAGGTATGAACAATGATAATTACTAATTTATGAATTACATATAGCGTATGATTGTAGAAAATGCATTAAATACCTTAAGTAGTAATAGGTACTTGCTGATTAATTATAAAATATATATGCATATGGTTAAATGGTTTAACTCCAGACACAAATATTATTTTACAGGATCAAAAAGGAAAAAAAACTTACCAAATTCATTAGAAAATTTCCACATAACATCTNAAAAAAAAACTTACCAAATTTATTAGAAAATTTCCACATAACATCTACTAGTTTTGATTTTACAAATACAAATTTTGGAAACTGTTCTGTTGAAGAATATTGGCTCATAATTGGATATTATAGAGTACTAGATAGTTTAATTGTAAACATGAATGACAGGTTTTCTGAAGAAAGCTTAAAATTAGCAGTTGCAGTTAACAAATTGATTAAGTTAGACTTTGAAAATAGCATGGATTTTTTTTATCACTATTTGGTAAGTCTTTATCACTTTAAAACTAAAATTTTGATTTAATACCTTAATTAAATAAATTGATAATATAATAAATATAACAATTTATATTATATGTGTGTTTACAGAAACTAACAAGATATTGTAAAAAATCATTAGAAGCAGAGATGGTTGTAGCTAAATCTTGCCTTTAAAAAAAAATGCAAACTTTGATTTAACAGATATGGTTGAACTCATTACTCCATCATTATATCCTAATCTATTCAAATACCTGCAACTCGCAATAACAATATCAGTAATTTCAGCAACTTGCGAACGATCTTTTAGTGCCATGAGAAAAGTGAACACTTGGTTGAGGACAACTATGGAACAGAATCGATTTTCAAGTTATTAGTTTTACACATTGAAAGGGATTTATCCAATAATATAAATGTAGCAGATAAAACCTCATAAAACCACTCCACCATTACCCCTACCATAGAGAGACCACGCCCACTGTATGACACGCCCCTCCCCAGGCCACGCCCACCCATAATACAGATGGGTGGGAGAGGGGGTGATGCGGGGGGGTTCTAGAATCCCCTATTTTACGCTACTTATATATATACAGTAAAGCGACTTAAGTACGTAAACGCATCATGCACTATGTATATCCCTGTTTAAGAGCGGGGGGAACGTTATAACTAAGGTAAAAACGGTGGCAGCGGCCGTAGGAATATATAAATATATATACGTAAGGCGCATTACACGTAGACGGTATACCGAAATNATATCCAGATTAGTAATTATTTTAATTATATATTATATAATTTTTATAATTAATTGTTTTCAAATTATTGTTGATTTTTAATATGTTAAAAGTAATAATTTTTAAACTACTTTTTTTTGTTTTTTAAAGTGAAAGTTTATAATGAAAAAAAAAAAGAATTTATTACCATAACTCTTTAAGCTCAATTTGCAAGTTTGAAATTGACATCATTAAATAGATCTGTAGATAGTGTTTCATTTAAAGAGATTGGTGGATTATTCCAAAAGCAACATCGCTCTTATTTCTTCAATTATATCCTGATTAGTAGTTCTTTGGTTTTAAAATATAATATATGAATATACAGGGTGATTTTTTTATAATAACCCACTCAATTACTTGCAGAATAATAATAATTAAAAATTTTTTTTTTTCATTATCTTTAGTTACACATTATTCTTGAATTTTTAACTATGTAATACTTTTTAAGTTCATCCCTTATGCCTTGGAGGGGGGTCAACTTTGTTTTTTTAAATGGTAACACATATTTTTAATTTAATAAAATGTTTGAGTTTTTAATTTAATAGTAAATGGCATTTGAATTTTTAATATAACTTTATTAGCTTATTAGATATAAACATTTAAAGTTTCAAAATTTTGAGTTAATATACATGTATAATACACATGGGATTGTAAATACAGGTAGCTAATTGGATTTTTATGACATTGCTGTCTCAGTCACGGATTGTTTATTATCAATTATGATTATCAATAGATATACTTTCTGTATTGTCAGTTAGTGTATTTATAAACTCATAACAATGTGCCTTACTACAATTGATAATAACAATGCTGTGTATCTACTAATATTGATGTTATAAAAAACCAATTAGCTACCTATATTTGTAATCCCTTGTGTATTATACCTGTATATTAATTCAAAAATTTGAAACTTTAAATGATTATATCTAATAAACGAATTAAGTTATATTAAAAATTCAAATGCCATTTACTATTAAATTAAAAACTCAAACATTTTATTAAATTAAAAATATGTGTTACCATTTAAAAAAACAAAGTTGACCCCCTTCCAAGGCATAAGGGATGAACTTAAAAAGTATTACATAGTTAAAAATTCAAGAATAATGTGTAA